ACCACATGAACTTTGTTTAGTTCGGAAGCCCATATGATCGGTGTTCGCATAGTTCTGAGTGAATATATATATATTCACTCAGGAACGTGCAGACACCGACCCAATTGTGTGGTATCGAGTGGTCCCGGAACGGACGACTACCTGCCAGGCCGATGCCACTTGATGTGCAATCTCTGACTCCAGACCAACTAAATAGGGGTCGCAATGCTCCATTAAAATGCACAGTAATTGCAAAAATGTTTCCTTTTGCTTCCGCGAATCAGCCTTTTTCCAGTGTTTCCTCTCCATGGTCTGAAGATAAATCATACGGCCCCATGTTTTCTTTTCAGTATATTTCCTTTCCTGGCCGATCTACAGAGCACTGTGGCCTACATGAGACGTTGTATTAGACAGCGCTTCTCTCAATACGCCTTCCATTTCCTGGAAATGGAACAGCAATCTCTGCAGTCGCCCCCTAAACTCCCTAATCAGGCCTTCACTCCCACGGATTTTCAGCAGGAGTTCAAGTGTGTTGCCGACATTCTTGATTGGCTGCCCGATTTCTGGCTCCATCTGGTGCGTCTTAAGCGAAACCTGACCGGATCTCAAACCGACACTTTCCCCGTCTCCCCATTCCGTCTGCTTGCCTGTCCTTTCACAATTCAGTCGTCCTGGACGTGGTTCATGGAGCTCTGGGATGCCGAAATCCAGCACTTTCTAGTGCACGGTGCCGAATCACGGGCTTCTTCCTTACCACCGGGTAACTTTCCGAGCGCCGGTGGACCCATCAGTAAGAGTGATTCACCTCGGCTCGGTGCCTTCACACGCTGGATGTTCTCCACCTGGCCCTGGCCGGAGTTGCCTTCGTGCATAAATGGCATTCCTCTGCTCCAGCGTAGCGTCTTCCTGCCATGGGACTTGACTTCCACTGCCGCGGTGGCCATTTTAGGAACCACGGCAACGGGACCAGAAATGTCCTCATCCTCAGCACGTCGTTTGAGTCAAACTGGCCCAGTGAGTCAATCCCTGAGCGTGTTGACTAAACTGGGTCTAAAGAATACTATGTGTAATTCCGATTTATTTACATCAACCCAGTCAACTGGGGCTGTTACTGGTGCTGGTGATGCTTTTCAGTGTAGTGCGAGCCCTCGGGAGTCTGGCGCCGCTATTTATGACTCATACTCCTCAATTCCAGCGCTATTTCCTGGTCAGAAGGAGGTCATCACACACCAGCTCCTTCAAAAATCACTACCGACGTCAACGCCACCACTTGCCTTATTGTGTGCAGCGAAGCCTTCTAATGCGATCGCTTGCCAACCCCTTGTTTAGATATAGGAAATACTTTTTTATTTATTTATTGCAGTTATTTGCCCGGTT